TTTGTTGTTATTCATATAATCATTTCAAAATTTAACTTTCTCATAAAAAAAACTTTACATACAAATAGTTTCTTGGGAAAATTTCTACACGTTTGTTCCGCAGCTTTGTATTTGTTTACATATTATTTTATTGTTGTTACTTTTTTTTTTGTTTTAAAATTATACTTTAAAAAATCACCAAATTCGTCAATCTGTTTTTCACCTCCCTTTTTTTTTGTAACATTAAAATTACCACCGTTGAACGCTGAAATAAAAAAATGATTAAAGTTTTGAAAAAAAGTAGAAAATTACCACTTTGTAGTATTATTGCAGGCTTAGTTTTTGTTTTTAACAATAAAACTGAAAAATACTTTTTTTATTACAATGTTTGTTCTGCTGTTCACTTTTCTTTTTTTTTCTTGTTGTTACTTTTACATAACTCCAAAGTAATTTTAGTAATTTGAAATACTTCAAAAAAAAAATTTTTTTTTTTAACAATGATATTATAGATTTTTAAGGCGGAAAAATACGACAACAGTTCTTGTTCTTCAACTTATAACTGACAGGTGAAGTATAGAAAAATTCTTTTCAACAACTGCAGATGTTGTTTCACACACTTATACATAGACATCGATACACACTGCACATCAGTCTAAACTATAGCCGTTTTAAAATGGTTTCAATCTAAATCAAGTGAAAAAATGACCATCTAAAAGCCGGTGAGCCACTTTACATAGGAACACCGTACAATTTCTGTAAAACAATTTACTGTTTTCAAAAGCCAATTTGAGCAGTAAACCCTATTGCTGAAAAGTGCGACAGTGGCAATAATCCTGAGACTTAATCTCTTCTGTCTATACATTACCACTCCTAAATTTATCCCACTCTTGAAAAAGATTAGCAGTGAGCAATCAGCTTATTCTAAGTCTAAAATATTTTTACCCACAGACTATTCCCAAATTTATCTGATATTGAAAAAAATACTGTATTCGGCGTTTTTTTAAGTCTACTTTGCTGCTAACCGATTACTGCATATTTTATTCTTAGATATACATCTGCTGTTGTGTGCTGATGCTTAAAAGATCGTAGTTCAGTTGTTCATCACTGGGTCGAAGATAGAACTTTTGCATAACAGTGTAATCAGCCTGATGTGTTTTCCATTTTTTTTT